GGTTGCCGTCTTTGTCGGTGACGAGCGGCTCCATGAAGGGCACCAGGCAGCACAGCATCACACCCGACACGGCTGACTGGTAGTACAGCAGCTGCGGTGATGTGCACTGCAGAGACTCCTACATGGGGGCACGCCACGCACCAGCACGCACCAGCCAACCACACACACATACACACAGGGAGAGAGAGAGGGTGCCAGTGGGTCTGGGAACCAGTGTGTGTGTGGGCGGCTGACGGGGTCAAGTGAGGAGGTGAAAATCTCTCGATGGTATATTGGTCAGTAGTGTGTGCGCACCAAGCCCAGAAAGGTCTTGGATCTTGTCTATCAGGTCTCTGTCGGCCTGCAGGTGGCCGACAAGGGTGGCCCTACAGGCTCAGAGAGAAGTTCCGCTGTGCGAGGGCAATCCAATCGGCACACAGACAGCAATCCTCTCATCAAGGGCAATGCAATCCTCTGGCACCAAATGAGCCTGCGATGCATCCACCAAGCGCACGCACTGGGCGGCCATCTGGTCAGCCACACACAATTACGTCTCAAGCAAATGAAGCAGATGGTGTCAGGAGGCCGTGTGTTAACGAATACTGACCTTTTCGTAATGAAGTCGATGGTAAGTTTCTTGTGGGTCACCAGGACGGAGTCAGCCGTCTTGGCGCAATGCGGCCATCTCTGACATAGACAGACACAAAGGCCAGTCAGCAGCAGAGATGTGACCTTCTGGCTGCTCCTGGCTGTGTGTGCGGCCTTCCTGTGCCCCTCTCTCCCGCAGCTTCAAGACGGCACGCGGCCTCTTGAAGCTGCGGGTCCGCGTGATTGACCATGAGGTCGGCTTTGGTGGCGCGGAGGGCGAAGTCGTCCTGGAGCGGCCAGCGGGTGACCGTCGGGATGTTGGCCGTCATGATGCTGTGCATGTCCCATGTGAGGAGGTCACGGAGGGCGTCTTCGGGGAAGGGTGCTGGCGGCTGGTTCGGGGGCGGCGGGGCCTGAGGCTGAGCAGGGCCTCGTCCGGCTGGCGGGGGCGGAGGGGGGTTGCCGTGAGGGCCCGGGCCGCCAGAGCCTCTGTTGCGGGGCGCGGAAGACGGCGCAGGTGC